TGGTAACTTTTTTTATGTACTTACTGATATTGTATTATTTGACAGTTTGAATTTGACAAATCTTTTAAAAAATGTGGGGTCAGTACGTTTGTTTTCTTTTAAAGAAATTAATAGTTGATCAAAACTGCCAGCAAAGACATTTATAATGCTACAAAAGATTAGTATTTCAAATAAATGCTGTTCTTTTAAACTTTCTATACATCAAATAATCCTGGAAAATGTTTAAATATATATATATATATATATATATATATATATATACAGTAATACAGCTGAAAACTGGAGTAATGGCTGCTAAAAATTCAACCTTACGTCACAGGAATAAATTCCATAAAAAATATATTAAAATAGAAAACAGTTTTTCATTTTTTTTATAATATTTCACAATATTACTGTTTTTACTGTATTTTTTATCAAATAAATGCAGCCTTGGTGAGCATAATATCTTATCGACGTGGACAAGTAATTTATTAAAGATTTGGCAAGCTATAATTTAAAAAAAATATTTTGATAGACTTGGTATCAATATTGAGATGGCCCGCTTACGATTCAACATTTGATCCAAATATTATATGGTAGCTTTAAAGCTTGGACTAAACGAGCCCTCACAGCATACCGTACTTTTTAACATAAAGGAAAAGTGTTGGATTTTAAAACACTCAAATTTTGTAATCAAGATTTTAATAGTTACTTACAAATAAGACATACAATTATTAATATTACAAGGGACTATAATGACAAGGAAAACAATAGTATTCTTGCAATGTTTATTTCAATATATAAAGCGGGTGACATTATATAAAAGTCTACAAGACAGTAAATTAGAAAATACCCAATATATTAGAAATAAAAGTCAAATGGAAGGAAATGTTGAAATCCTAGAGGAAGATTGGAAAAGTATTCTTAAATCACAGCGGAAGACAGCACATTCCTCATCCTGGAGATAATTCGGTTGGAAAATTATCACTGTATTTTTCCTCACCTCTGAGCTGAAGAGATATCAAAAGCATAAGTGCAATCTGATGGAGAATGTGTTCTCGGATCAGCCAATGCTCCGAAGTTCAGAAATATTGAATCTCTAAAATCCATAAGTGTATATTCAAGGTACCCATCCAATTTAGTTTGGTCTTACAAATCCTAAATTAGAAGACACATCTAATAAATATTTGATGAGGATCCTGTTGATAGCATGCAAAAAAGCTATAACCAGAAAATGGTTTCAACCTGAAATACTGGAAATTAATGATCGGCTGGGAATAGTTTACAAAATCGACATGACGGAGAGGTTAACAATGAATCTTCGGTTACAGTCTGAGAAATTTGTCAAGTTATGGGGAAAATGGATAGACTACATTCTCCCACTAAGACCAGACCTAGTATAAAAATGAGGATAATTAAGAGTAGTAGGGAAATCTTGAGAATTATTGAGAAGTAGGGTTACGAAAGAAGTAATAGTTTAAATAAACATAAAAAATACCCATAGAGTACTTCTGGAGTCAAATATACCATCCTCGGGTTCCTTTTGTATATAGTTGAGGAAAAAAATGATATATAAGCCAAAACTGATTGATGGATTTGGTACCCAACCTACCGGCTGAGTAATAAATAAACAACTACAGTATATTGTTTATTGAATTACAAAATAGGCTGTATTACTGTAATTGCTAACATAACATTTTTAATGACAGTATGTTCTTAAAAATGTCTATTTTATACAGCTTTCTGCTACTAATCAACTTCATTAGTAGTGTTTCCTAAGGCAAGCATCACTATTTCTATTGCTCATAAGCCTCTAACCCATAATATTAAAACTTTCCTTCAAGTAAAACAAGTTTTTGCTAGTAAGCAACCACCCTGAACACCTTAACAACTGCATAGCAATAGCAACCCTTGTGTTTTGCACAGACACGCCACTTACATTTTATTTAGAAAATGTAAAAAGTAAACTTTTTCAACAATGTCCGACTGAACATTTTTGCCCCTCTCTCTCTCTCTGTCTTCCCAGGGCATTCTGTGAGGAGTTTCTCCGTGTGTGTTTGGCAGTCTCTGAGGGTGTGTTTGATATCAGACAGCTATGAGTGGTAAATATAGCGTGGTGTTACAGGGTCCTGCCCCTTGGGGCTTCAGACTGCAGGGGGGGAAAGACTTCAACATGCCTCTCTCCATTTCACGAGTGAGTACGAACACACACATTCATTCAAAACACGATACACCCCTTCTGACCCCCGACACCATCTGTACCCTTTAATGATCTCTCACACCCCTCGCTCTTCTCTTTTTGTCTATTTTCTCTGTTGCTTTTGAACTCGCATTATGAATAGGGGAGAGTGGGGTAAGCTGTGTTTTAAATCGGTGCCCAATGTTTGTCATGTGACCATATGTTTAGAAAAGGCCAGTCATTTACAGCTGCCTGTGATTAAGAGATGCATATGATGCATAGATAATTACATTCAAATAACTTTTTAAAAATTGACATTTAAAATAACTGTTTTAACACGTTTTAATCATTTAGTTATAATTTATACATTTTAATACATTTATTTATCAATTTTCAGCATCATTACTCCAGTCTTCAGTGTCACGTGATCCTTCAGAAATCATTCTAATATGATGATTTGATGCTCGAGAAACATTATCAATGTTGAAACATTGTGCTTCTTAATAATTCTGTGGAAACTGTGATACATTATTATTATTTTTTTTTAACAGCATTCTTTAATGAATATCTAAAGTTGAAAAGAACAGCATTTGTAACATTTTTGTTTTGCAACACTATACATATCTTTACTGTCACTTTTAAACAATTTAATGCATCCTCGCTGAATAAAAGTGTTTAAAAAAACTGTTGGTGAATTGCCACTATATCAGGCTATTAAAAATATTAAGATATAAATTGAAAGAAATAATTGAAATGTGATTAGCACACAATTCTTTTTTTTATCATTACAGCTTGAATGCAGTGCAAGTTGCTTTGGATAAAAGCATCTGCCAAATGCAAATATAAATGTTTCAGTTTGTGATGCAGCTTACTCCTAATAATGTGGACCACTTCTTTTTGAGAAGTCATATTTCAGTGCCTCTATATTTATAGGCGCTTTCTTCTAATGTCACTGGATAGCAGTTCAAATGTTTATTTTAAAATATATTACACACTCTTAGGTTTACCCTCATCTCATATCCTCTTGACCACAGGACAAAGTTATGTATCTCTATATCTGTTAAGTGATCTATGTAACCTTTCCTTTCCACCTGTTCATACTCTTTATTTCCTAATGAGTCTTCCACACTCCCTCTATCTACAGTATCTTTTTCTCTCTCTCTCTCTCTCTCTCTCTCTCTCTCTCTCTCTCTCTCTCTCTCTCTCTCTCTCTCTCTCTCTCTCTCTCTCTCTCTCTCTCTCTCTCTCTCTCTCTCTCTCTCTCTCTCTCTCTCTCTCTCTCTCTCTCTCTCTCTCTCTCTCTCTCTCTCTCTTTTACACACACACACACACACACACACACACACACACACACACACACACACACACACACACAGATCCACTTATGTCACACACCCGTTTGAACTGCCAATGCATGACAGCTATTCCCACAATGCCATCTGGCAGAGGAGTGATGCAAATGACCTTCTGATTGATTTTCCTTGCCTCTCTCTATTTCTTTCCCTCCCCGTCTCCAAGCTCTTCCTTCTTTCCCTTTGCCTTCCCCTGTCCGCCTCGCTGTCTCTAAGTGTCTCATCTTATGAGTTGCTTATAAGCTCATAACAATGTGATGTTATTTTTGACTTATTGGGCAATTTCATATACATTTTTTCTGCTAATGATTGCGACAGTCAGACAGTGATTCTTCACACAGTTTGTGATGTTGTGGTTCGTTGGTTTGGGTTTGTGGCTTAGAGAGCTTTATACAGGAAGCCAGTGAACATATTTGATCAATTGTGCGAGAGCTCTCTCGGATCCCGCTACAGACGTTACTCACACTCAATAAAATATGTTATTTCAACTTCAGATCCTCAGTAAAAACTGGGAGCGCTGCCGTCAGCTATAGCCAGGGTTCAGTTCTGTGCCAGTGTGCCGGACACATCATTAATGTGGGATTTACAGTCCTCTCATCTCTATTCAGCATCGTTGGGGAGTAAGAATTAGTGAAGCTTCATTCTAACTGCAGTGTTACAGTAGCTCATCTGTTTACTGGCTTTATAACAACTAGCAATGTTTTTCCCACAGCCAGTGTGATTAGGTTTATATAAGAAACAAATCCATACAAATTGAACACATTGTACTGTTAATATTCATATGTGTTTTAGCCTTATATTTTTTATTTGACATTATATAGTCAATAAAAAAAAAGAACATGCTCTTTCTTAAATAGAGTTCAGAAGTTTCATTTAGCATATTTCAATGAACAGGTAAAAAAATGTTTAATTGATTTATTTGGATCAATAGTGTCCCTGAAATCAAATCAATCAAAATCCCTGAAATCTCTCTGCGGCAATTTTGTGTCTTGTATTTTTGTTTTGTTTATTTATTTACTTATTATTTTCTATATAATTTTTTTTTTAAATAAAATTTATAATTCTTAATAAAAAAAAATCTTGGATTAATACTAAGGGCTTGCTCCAGCGCAAACCCTCTTTTGCTGTTAAAAAACTACTGTCAGGACCGACTTACTAAAGACACACAGTAAAAAACTTAGCGCTGAAAGGTTGTGGACAGGGTTATTTTTGCGGCTGATCTTATTGCATATGCATTTGTTGGAGTTTCCCTTCCAGACGCTAAATTTATGGGAGGAGAGAATTTAAATGGATCATTCAAGGTGATTTACTAAGGTTTACTATAGTCAATGTATTGGCATTTGTTTATTGGCGCTTTTACAGGATTGCGCTCTCACACTAATTTGTTCTGTTTAGTAAGTAATAATGTATAGTTAGCAGTCATTTTCAACAATGTGATCAGGTTCCCATATTATCCTGCTTATAACGTGACCGCTTGCCAAATAAATAGATGGAGGGAAAGTAGTGAGTTTAAGTAATTGTATCATGTGGTAATAAAGAAAGCAAGGCTGATAGGCTTGTGTAATGTCTGAACTTTGTATTTTGAGCACTTGTTGCGTTGTTTTTGCCTCTTCACGATGACTCGCTTGGTTTAGTCCTCAGTTGTAAGTCGCTTTGGATAAATGACTAAATGTAAAATGTAAATGATACTAGAGATATACAACCTGCACAGCTCTTTGAGAAGCATTGGAGAAGATTGACCAATCAGAATCAAGTATTCTAATTTCTCGAGACCCACATTTCTGTCAGCAACTGCTTCTTCAAGCTTTGCCTTCCAGATCTCATGACATCATCTCCAGAGGAGTGTGTATGTGTGGGTGATAAACTTTTCGTCGATGATAAGATAAAATGAGAATGTTCCAGTTCATGCGCTGATGAAGTAAGCTGCTTTCTCAGAGGTTCTCTGAGTGTTTCAGCCGTGAGAATTAAGCGGCAGTGTTTCTGGCGAGAACATGTAGATCGCAGCTGCAGTATTTCTTCAAGTGTTTTTGCTCGTCTGCTGATTTCAGACAGGACGGGCGCTGTGACAGCTTTAGACTGTAAATAAACGCTTGGGGGGAGTGTGTTGGGTTTGGATGCGGACAGGTCTGAGGTTGTGGGAGTGTGATTTTGGGTTGTGGGAAGTTTGGCAGCGAGATTGGGTTGGTTTGGACCTCGCCGAACCCCAGCCAGCTTTACAGAGATTTAATACTCTAAGTTTTGGTTTATGGTGGGATTTAATACAGGGATCTGGTCTAAACTAGGCTTTATAAGAGTGTGGTTTGGAGCTGCCGTTGGATCACAGGATCACAGATGGGTGTGTGTTCTGTGTCAATGTCAGTTTCTCTCTTTTTTCTTTCTTTCTGTACTTGTGTACCATCTGACACTAACATTGTGCCATGTGGTACCACCAGTTTTCTGTACTGTGTTTGTCTTTCTTTCTCTTGAAGGAAATGCGATTGGTTTAATTCACTTTTTTGATTCAGTATCTCTCTCTTACTCACTGTTTGTTTCGTTATTTTTATTTTTCCAGGTGGTATATAGAAATGTAGGTGTATTTTAGCAGCAGGTCTGTTCTGTATTATAGAAAAAGTACACTGTCACTTTATTAATATACTAGTCAAGTGCGTAGAAACACACAGTAAAGAACATGTATATGTTGGATCCGTTAAAATAGCCCTTATGGGAAAACATTAAAGTTTAATGAAGATGTCTTCGCTTTCCTTGAAACCTGATATGATGTCAGAAATCATTTCACTGAATTGTTGTTGAAAGGTACAAGCTGTACCGCTTCTCCTGATCAAGTTAGCAGATTGTGCTTCCAGTCTCACCAATAAATCTGCTTGAAACCACCTGTAAGATTCCACATGTGAACGCGAGACGGGCAGGAAACAAACTCAACCATTCATTCAGATATTTATGCTATTATATTACGCAGTGCTTTGGAGTGCTTGATTCTGATAGTCGCTAAGATTTTAAAATGCTTTGTCTCTTCTGCTCACAAAGGCTGAATTTTATTTAATCAAAAATACAGTTAAAAACTATAATATTGTCAAATATTATTACAATTTACTGTTAAAATGTATTTTATTCCTGTGATCAAAGCTGAATTTTCAGCATCATTACTCCAGTCTTCATAATATGCTGATTTGATACTCAAGAAACATTTCTTATTATTATCAATGTTGAAAAAAGTTGTGCTGCTTCATATTTTTGTGGAAACGGCAACAACAGGATTTATTTAAAATAGACATTATACATGTCTTGACTCACTTTTGATCAATTTAATTATTTTGGAAATTTTTTGGAAATAAAAAACATAATTATATATTTTTTAGATATATTTTAACAAGAATTTACATTTAAAATTTGAATAAGTGAATTGGTGTTTATTTTGTTCTTTAAAAAAATCACTTATTCAAATTAATTGAATAATTTCTGGCACTAAAAAACTATTTTTATATAGTTTTTTAGTGCCAGAAACAAACACAACGATTCTTTATGACCCAGAACCGAATGAAATGCCTCTCTGTCTGACTTTTCAAACACATGACTTAATTATTTGCGTAGATCTGTTCGGTATATCGTGATGAAGCACATGGTATCTGTCTCTGGCACTTCATCTGAATATTACTGCACACATTT